GAAAGAGCAAACTGGAAAGAAGTCCCAGGCCCACGGCTCGTTGTAAGCTCCCCGGAAACTTGAGTGTTTGTCTTAACAGCCCAGAAAGTTGGAAGATTTCCGAAAAAAGCAGGGTGGCATGTTGTCTTGCACGATGAATTTTGCGAAATTTAAGATTCAAAAACCACGGCTAACAAGCTTCATGACAAATAACCCTCAAGCAGAGCTCATGAAATGTACCTTCCTTCTCGTCAAGAGCCCCCATGGAAGAAGGGTAACAGCAGGAGCAGTGGAAATAGCTCCATATAATCTCTTCTCTGCAGCTTGTTTCTTCATGATCCGCTGCAGAATTTCAGAGTCTCTTAACCTAACAGAGCCAGGCATGCCTCCCTTCACCAAATATTGCATTGTCAGAGAGCCATTACAAGAGGAATCTACTAAGAACTTGTAAGATGGAATTCAATCAGAATATGATCCATTAAACTGGCATCATTCAGCGTTCTTCTCATTGCTTTCATATCTGAAATTTCATGATTCAGACTGTCAAAAAACAGCAAAAGCAATCCAGTTCTTTCTTGAAAAGAAACTAACCGGCAACACCACTAGATCAAAAACTTTGTCTGTACATTTCGAGATGGATACATCAGCAACCAATCTGGTGCCTGATGAAGCTTCAACCTCGAGTTGTGGCTCCACCGAAGCCACGGTGACCTCTGCACCAGCGCGCCGCAGAACATCAACCAACACAACAGCTTCCATTTCCTCCGTACCATACCCAACCGGAACAAGAACCTAAACGTTTTTTTACCAAACAAGCGCGACGCGTGAATATAATGTTCTTTCTCCGACATTCATGAACACGAGAGACTCTACCTGAAAATCAATGTCATCCATAAGTTACTCAGTTGGGGAATTCCACAGTGTGTCCATTGACATGAACACGAAAGGGGTTTTTCAAAGTTCTTGAATTTCCTCAGTACACAACCAAGCTGGGAATTTTTCGCGAAAAGGGTATCTGAAGGAATGGAACAGACCTTCTTATAAGTTGAAGAGGACCCGACATCACCAATGGACTCTGAAGTTTCTACACTGAGTGTAGCTGAACACCTGATCCCCAAATTTCCCGCCCTTTTCCCGGTTCTTGGAGAAGCAACCATGGAGACGATGGAAAAAGTCGGAGCGACAATGGTGAAGAAGCAACCCATCGACGAAATGGGCTTTGTGTCTATCGAAATTGGTTTCGCTGAAGCTATCGTAGGTATCTGAAACCCTAAAGACCCCATTGGCGATTTCTCTGCTTCAGCTTGATGGCCCCGCGACGAAAGACGTCGGAGTGAGCGTCTTATCCATACAAAGATTTTTTTTGGTCACTATCCATACGCAGATTGAAGAACTACGAAACGCCGTCGTATCATCGACTGCGTAGCTCAGATTCGATTTTTTGTTTGGATTAAAGGGGAAAATCTTTTTTTTTTTTTATAAAAAATGGTTTATGTGTTTGGGATTGGTTTTTTTTTTTTTGGATATGAATTACACACAAGCAATTACTCAGACGCGATCTTGTGTGTGCATATATATGCGACGACGACGATGAAGAGAGTGACTTTGGCCATACCACGAACGAAGACAGAAATGTTGAGGATTCTGGGGAGAAGGGCTGTTTCAGCTTCTGGGGAGCTGACGAATCTTCATCAATGGCAGCGATCACGACAAGACCCTTTTCGAGTTTTCCACGGATTGCAAAGGGGTTTCTGCTTGGGCGTCCTTCCCGATGGCGTCGACAGAAATTCGGAAGCTTTTTCCCGCAACTCGGTCGCCATGGAAGGAATCCTCTCCGAACTCCGCTCCCACATCAACAAGGTCTGTGTTGTCATGTGCGTTCGTTTGTGTCTGTGTCTGTATCTGAGTGGTCGGGAGATGTTTATGTCTTTGTCGTGGGTTTCAGGTGTTGGGCGGTGGTGGAGAAGAAGCAGTGAAGAGACACAGAAGCAGGAACAAGCTTTTGCCTAGAGAGAGGATCGATCGGCTTCTTGATCCTGGATCTTCTTTCTTGGAGCTCTCTCAGGTTTGGTTTTGTTTCGATCTGAAACTCTCTTTACCTAATAGGATTTGTTCTTATAAATGGGTATAAATTCCTGCAAATTGATCTCTACAATCAAACCTTTTTCCCTGTTTTGAGCTGATTCATGGCAGCTTAGGATAGCATGATATGAGGAACTGATGTTTATAGGCTGATTAGTTATTGATTGTTAAATGGGATTTAGAAAGGCAGTGTCTGCAGAATGTTTTGGCTCAGAACTTCTATTTTTGGAACAAACTTAGTGTGGATTCGTCACTGATCGATGTAGATATGAATTAGAATGTGAATAGTGGAAGAGAAAATGATTTTTGAGTGTTCTGTTATGTGAGGTTAGAGGAAAGAAAGGAAATGGAGAATGGCTATGACTGGAATTCCTGAATGGTTTTGAAGCTTGCAGGACATGAACTGTACGAGGAACCATTACCATCTGGTGGGATAATAACAGGAATAGGTCCTGTCCATGGTCGCCTTTGCATGTTTGTGGCAAATGACTCTACAGTAAAGGGCGGAACCTATTATCCCATAACCATTAAGAAACATCTTAGGGCACAAGAGATTGCTGCTCGATGTAAACTACCGTGCATATATCTTGTTGATAGTGGTGGTGCTTTCCTTCCAAAGCAGGCCGAGGTTTTCCCCGACAAGGAAAATTTCGGTAGGGTTTTCTACAACGAAGCTGTTTTGTCATCGGAAGGGATTCCCCAAATCGCCATTGTTTTAGGCTCGTGCACTGCTGGTGGGGCTTATATCCCCGCCATGGCTGATGAGAGTGTGATGGTGAAAGGGAACGGTACCATATTTTTGGCCGGACCCCCTCTCGTAAAGGTTGGATTTTTTTTTGTTCCCACTGTAACTTCTGTGTGTCTCTGTAAAGCTAAATGAAAAGTTTTGGCAGGCTGCTACCGGGGAGGAAATCTCGGCAGAGGATTTAGGAGGGGCCACGGTCCACTGCAAAGTGTCTGGGGTCTCGGATTATTTTGCTCAAGGTGTGCCTTTTTCGGCAACAGTTTTATCTATCCGGATGTTATATGGTGTCTTACTCCTTATGAAGTTACTTCGTGTTGCAGATGAGCTGCATGGACTTGCTATTGGAAGAAACATTGTCAAGAATTTGCACATGGCTGCAAAATCGGGGACAGCAGGAAGCGTTGGAAGTGTTGCAAATCTTGAATATAAGGAGCCATTATACGACATAAACGAGTTACGTTCCATTGCACCTGTAGACCACAAACAGCAATTTGATGTTCGGTCAATTATTGCTCGGATTGTTGATGGGAGTGAATTCGACGAGTTCAAGAAACTCTATGGCACTGTAAGAATCCTCTTGGCTCTGAATACTCGTTGGTTTCTTCAGAGTTTGAAACCTTTATGGTTCCTAATCCAAGATCTGTGTTTGAACAGACACTTGTGACAGGTTTCGCTCGAATTTACGGTCAGCCAGTAGGAATCCTTGGGAACAATGGAATACTCTTCAATGAATCTGCACTGAAAGGAGCTCACTTCATCGAAATATGTTCTCAACGCAAAATTCCTTTGATTTTCCTTCAGAACATCACGGGTTTTATGGTAAAGGCATTTGGTGGTAATTTCTTTCAACTAGACATATTTTTCTACATCTCTCTCAGCCCTTTTGACGTCTCTATTGCCTATAGGTGGGATCGAGAGCCGAAGCCAATGGCATTGCAAAATCGGGAGCAAAAATGGTCATGGCAGTATCTTGTGCTAAGGTTTGTCAAATCCCTTTGATGGCTTTTGATGTTGTTCCATCTTGAAAGAAACTAGGAAAAACCACACGATGATCATTCAAGAATACGGGTTTACACCATTATTTCTGAATCAACTTCTTATGCATGCAGGTTCCGAAAATTACTATCATGACTGGTGCAAGCTTCGGTGCTGGAAACTACGCGATGTGTGGCCGTGCATTTAGTCCTGATTTCATGTTCATGTGGCCAAATGCCAGAATTGGTATCATGGGCGGTGCTCAGGTAACCCTAAACCCTAAACCTTCTGTCTCATTCGTGTTTCTTCACCCAAAAATGTCACTGTTACGGATGGTTCTCACGTGAACACTGATCTTGCAGGCAGCAGGAGTTCTTAGTCAGATAGAGAAGGCTAACAAGAAAAGGCAAGGCATTAAGGTACTAACCAAACATCTAACAAATAATGTACATTCAAGACAACCTACCGCAAGATTTGTGTTCTTGATTTGAGCATATCTGTGAATGCCCTTTTCTTTTCTTTTCTTTTTTTACTGCAGTGGACGGAAGAAGAGGAGGAAGGGTTCAAGAAGAAAGTGGTGGACGCTTACGAGAGAGAGGCCAATCCCTACTACTCAACGGCAAGGCTATGGGACGACGGGATCATCGACCCGGCTGACACCAGGAAGGTATTGGGACTTTGCCTATCTGCAGCTGCAAACCGGCCATTAGAAGATACCAGATTTGGTGTGTTTAGAATGTAAAACTCAAAAGCCAAAAGATGCAATAAAAATTGTAAGCCCCCTTCAGAGCTAAACATTGAAGGTTGAAGCCATATTTGAACATGTTGGTTGAAATAAATGAAAGCGGTTATTATGGATATTGTGTGTTATTTTTAGTCTAAATTTAAAAGGCGCTCGTGGCCTAATGGATAAGGCGTCTGACTTCTAATCAGACCCACCGAGCGTGTGATTTTTTTTAAAAATTATTTTGAATATATTTCATGTTTTCATTTGGAATAATATTTTTTTAAGCATTCAATAAACCATTCAAGCGAATGTGGAAACGGGAACTTTGCCGAATAGAAAAATGGAAAATGATTTGCAGGGAAACTGAGAAAACAATGTTTAAAACTTATTAACTTCCTCCACAGATTTTATGAATTGGTCACATAATAATGCTCCGAACATATCTTTTCTGTCTTGATAATGACACATGATGTCTCCATGAGCCCAACAAAAACAAAAGGTATAGAACTTGTAATGACATTTCTTCTTCTTCTTCTTCTTCTTATGGATGAAGGAGGCAATGCTGTTCAAGTCGAAAGAGCCATTGTCTTACAAATGGGGCAGAGATTCTTGAGCATTACCCATTGCTTGATGCAATCTGTGTGGAACTCATGGCCACAGTCCAGTGTTCCAATATCATCTCCTTCTACATATCCCTCCTGTCCAAAAAACATGGCAAGACCAGAATCAGATGACAAAGATCGATTCCACCAACCCGAGCCACCCATATCGACAACTTAACAGAAAACACAATCCCCCTCTGACGATACAAACAAGATTGTCCCATTTGATTCAGCTGGTCGTAGCCATTTCCAACAAGGGGAGACAGCCAAGGCAAGTTTTTTCAAGTAAAAGTTGTGTTGTTTAAGGTTGTCATACTTGACAGATGCAGCAAGGCTCCGAGTCCTGCTGGGACTCTGCAGGTAAAGTCGTGTATTTGTGCTGTTTCATCGTTTTCAGAATCACTTCCTCGGTCAGCCCAGTGCTCACGTCCCCTATACGCTCCTCCAGTGCCAACAGCTCCTATATATTGTTCCCCGTTGATATCGGTAAATTTGAACATCGTAAATTTTTTAAAGAAAAGAAATAGTAATGAAAAAATGATCAGTCACCTCGTAAGACATGTTGTCAACGTCAAGGCGCATATCCCGATGCCTGTCATGCATCTCGGCCATGCCATGGAAGATAAGAGGATCAAACACCATATAGTCCTATCATATAAACCAAAAGCTTCAACACATTATGCCATGATTCAACTAGGAAAGTGCTGAAGAACACGAACCATACTCTATTAAATGCCTAATCGAGATTAATTCCTCCCATTCAAGATGGATCTTGTCATCCATGGATTCAGATATGAGTTCTACAGGAGCATATTATGTGAAAGAACATTTTGCTTTCTTAAATATGAAACCTATATAACCTTCAGAACTAAAATATAGATGGTACACACTCAAACTACCATACTGTAGGCTGTAGCTACAAAAGTAGACATGCATAGCAAGCACACTCGAGATCTAGAAACGAGACATCGGGTAGAAAATGCAACCGAATCATCACTTCGAGAATGGTTTACAATATCACTCATACCTCAAACCGCACATTGTCCCCTCGTCGCATGGCATTCAATACTTGACGTATCTGTCAAATAAAAGAGGAACAAAATCAAATTAACTATTGACAAATATATTACAATACGGATAATGATAATAACCTAAAGCAATGCTCGAATGCCACATTGCAGAGGCAAAGTAAATTAAAGGCAAAACCATCCACATAAGATTCATATCAAGAGGTCATCAAACTGAACAAGCTTGCATGAAAGGTGTTCATGCATGGATGATCCTTCCGTAAACAATAATGAGTAAAAAGAATAACAGAAGATAAAACAAAGGGTCAAAACCTCGGAAATCATCCGGTTCCTTCCATCGTTATCAGCAGCTAAGCTCCTTCCTAAATTACGCAAATGGAGATCGTTCTGCCTCTCCAATAACAATCCTAACCTTCTGGGCCGTGGCCGATGGCTCCTGCTACTAGACCCAGATGGTGCTGCCATCTCGTTCAAGGGAACTGAAGAGCCTGTAGGTAGTAAAGGAAGAGAACCACCACGGCTGGCAGATTCAGATTCGACGGTAGAAAATAAAGACCAAGGAGCAAGTTCTGATGTTCTTGATGGATTATGCATTGAGGTACTCTGGGGAGGAATCCATGCGGGGTTTGGATGCAAAGAATGAATGCTTGAACTCGGTCCTGCTTGAGGGACAAAAGGAGAATCTCCAGACACACTAGGGTTTCCACGACTGAAACTCCAAATAGATTCATCCGGCATTGGATTTCTCATTTCGGTTGCAGGTGCAAGCATATGATGCTCTGAGTTGCTTCTTGGTGCAGCTCGAGGCGGTCCAAATCGCTCTCCGGGTATCAAAGGATTGTTGGCTCTCGAACTGGAAGCAGCATTCCAAGCAAAATGGTGTATATTCCTAGTCAAAGCAGGGAGGTGAATGATATTTGATTGACTCTCATTACTGCTTGAGTTACCAGCAATTGATGTCATTGATCTCACCTCCAGAGGATCAACGGAAGGGGAAGTCACCGGTAAATGCTGTTGAGAAGAAACATTATCTGATGACAAACTGAACGGTACCGATTCTTGTGGCAAGCCAGGATTCAATCGCCTGCCGGGTCTATATGAGCCATCTACATTTCTTGCAGAAGGAAAAGCGTTTGAAGCAACCGCTC